TTAATACATAAGAGCCTATCTAAAGGTGTCAAAGGTCTACAAATCTTGGTAAGCTGAATGATTTTCCAAATGATTCATATTGATTTATTCATAAATAACAAAGTTAAATGTACTGGAGCTCCTTTCGTAAAACCATCCAGTTATAGGATAACTTGTGTAAACGAAAGGTTCAATATATCTACAATTATTGATTTTCCATATTTTTTTTAGGGTACCATTCTCTCGTCTTTGATTCAGAAAACTATTAAAATTCTACTAGTAAAATATCGGAGCGTCAGAAAAATAAGCTGATTAAGGCAAGTTCAAAATCAATACCATTAGAACACCCTCAAAATACATTACACTTTCTCTGTTTTACAAAAAAAAATCGCATTAAACCTCTATTTGAGCTAATTTTCGTTTTAGCAGGTATCAACTGGTAGCAGTAGAAATATTTTTTTAAAAATTTAATTCCATTTGGGGAGGTCCGTAGCTTCTTTGTGTATCATCGTGATGGTCGTAAAATAATTGGCATAAAATAGGGATAGGGATAAAAGAGGCTGCCACAAAGCCTTCCGCACCTCAACCTGATAGGTATAATGTGCTTCTTTAATTTTTATAACTCATTGGCCAGCTTCAGGTTATTAGTTAACCTCCATAGCCTTGCCAGCGGCTCTTTAGTGTAGTACCATGCTTGGGTATGGTACTCTTCTAGTTGCAAGAATCTACACCTACATACACGTTCTCGAAAACAGTATATGCACAGACGGTACATGAACTGTACTTCTTTCAGTATTCTTATCATGTGCATACGCCTCATTAGGCTGCAATGTCAAGATTCCAACCAGAATACCGTTGTGGTAACCTTCTATAATCCTTTTCCGGGTGCCCTTCTATGAATCGCGTGCGCTCATGTCTGAGGTGTTGCTCCACGAAGTTTTGGACTCATTAAGGATCTTTTGTGGCAAGATACTATGCCAGACTTCGGGGCATAGAGAATTCATATTGGCACCTAATCACAACAAAAACAGAAGTTATTTCTAGCCAACCGCTTTAAACCACAAGTGAAATCGAGAGAAATGTTATTGTTTTTCCATTGTGGGTATCTTGTGGCTTTTCAGTTCGACCGCAGGTCAGTGAAAATGTTTTAATGCACGGGTCCGAAATAAATTTTTATTGTATCTCTATTGATAATTTATACGGTGATATCCAGAATACGGTTCCGGTGTTTTGGAAAAAAACGCCCATTTCGAAATAATTCAGAGCCGGTGACTTTCGTCCGTACAGCGATGAGTAGATGTGTCAACGCTGTAACCAGTGCATCAAACCCCGGAGGAGTGCGTGTAGTTGCGAATCCCCGTAAAAATAAGGAAAACTTAGATAAGGTCACGATTTTTGTTGATAGGAATCATATGTCTATTTGAATCGACGTTTTTCGATAGAAACTTTGATATTTTAAATGCTCCATGTCAATACCGCAATTTTGTCCTTTAACTCGAATGCTATCCAAGCTTCCTCTTACATTTAAGAACACTTTGACCTCATGGAAGACTGGTGGAAAATGTGGAGGACAAGACTGATGTAGAAAAATGTACTCAGCGTACATTACAAATTAGTTACAATACAAAATTAGTCTTGCCTTTCATAGTACTTCAACAACAAAGAAATACCGATTTCCACACCTATAGAGCCTGCAATGTGACAGAGGATTGGACAAGATTTCTAGACGTGTTGACTTTTACTGCGACCACTGTGGACAAATGAAGAGGAACGATGGGGTTCTGTCAAGCCATCCAATATCCACCACATGTAATTCTCCCAGCCAAAACTCCTCAGATTATCAAATTGTCAAAGCAGCTTACTTTGTCACGAACCTCACTATCCACACGACCTCAACATTCCTTTTGTCAACGAACTAATCCCTTCCCGATTTCAAAAGTTTCACACTAAACTCTCGATCTTGTCTTACCCTCTGTGCGAGCCCTATTGATGCATTCCTATCCCGAGAACATGCCACGTCGCCTAAATCGAGGGTGTACTCGAGATCTCCTTAAACTCTCACACTGAGTGCTCGCTTTGAAGCATTGGCTGATTTCTCATGGCATGTGTCCTCCACACGGCTGCAATTAGTGTATGTTGTGACCGTGTGAAAAAACGTGACCTGTATTCCAATATGTACTACTATCTACAAATAAAATATATAAAAAAATTAAATGCCCCATACATTTTAAAACTGCTGGGCCTCATGGAAGTGACGATTCTCGATTAAACCTAACGGTTTTTTCCCTTTTTTTAAATTTATAACTCGAACTAACCATAACTCCTCTGGCCTGTTGGCCAAGATAGAGGCATTAAAAGTTTTTTCACTTTCAATTTCATATTTCTTATGCCCTTTGAGGAAAGTAAAATGGATAGCTACCTTATAAAAAATGCAATGGGAAGACAGGCGACTACTAGGTAATTGATACTGATGTTTTTAACCATAAAATAAAAATAATAAAAGAAATTAAATTAATTACTAATTACATAATTTAAACTAAATGACTGTATTTCTTGTAAAGGTTTTCCTGAAGATGGGCAAAAAAAAAGGAAAAACAGTCCGAAACGTAGATGTGAAATAAAATACCTAAATCAAAACCACGAGTCTCTCGGACTAACCTTGCCTAAAAATACCCTTTTTAGAAAAATAAAAAGGTAAAAATGTATTTAAGAATTTTTTTAAAATGCTCATTATGAAAACGAATCTACAAATTACATTATATTATTTTATTACCATTAAGTGAGAAAATACGGTAAAAAAATGAACTCAGATTAAAGAAACAGTTTTTATCTTTAACATTAAATATCTATCATTTTTTATTTGTGCTTTAAATTTTCCATATCTTTTTTTCTCTGTCTGAACTCAAACTTCAACCAAACCAAATCTGTGTGTCCTAGAGGTAATGGCATTTATACAGAGAATGACAACAGACGTCACCAGAACATTAATTTCTCAGTTGTTTTGAAAAGTATCTTATCCTGTTTGACTGAATGATCCTTGAATTCATAAATGATATTTAGAGAATAGAAGTTTTAAAGAAATATTTCCAAATTTAAATCGCCTTTATCAAGTTAATTAATTTTATATAAAATTCATGTTATTAATTGGGTATGATGATGCCGGATATACTCTTTGCATTCGTCCGTTACATCTCGATTGACCATTACTTTCGTTTTCCTTTTTGGAAACAACCGAACTGTAAAAACAAAGGAATGAATCGATATTAAAAACGAGACGACTAATTTTACCGGGCGTTCTCCCGGAAGGATAAGGGAATTGATGAATGCCATCCAAGTTATCGGAATTGCGTTTGGTTCAACGGCCATAGAAAATTTTGATAAACAAGTTGTTTGCCCTCTTGAATATTTCTTTCTACGTTGAGAGACAAAACGTGGAATATGTCTATTTTTTTTTCTGCCTATTTTGTACAATTGTGATGCGGAGATTCCCTATTACATATCATGGATTGAACAACTGGAACTAGCAGTCACTATTAACAAAGACACAGCAAACAACTATTAATAAAATTACGCATTCATATAAATTTTCTTGAATAAATGAAGTATACATTTTGAATACAAATGATTTAAACTTTTTAACGTAAGGCTTTGCAATTTGTTACTGGAGAGAATCGTCTTCTACAATATTAAATGAGAAAATCAGATGTGTGTACTTAAAAGAAACAATGCATTTAAGAGGGAGTGGGAGTGTGAGTGTGTTTAGATGTAAAAACTGGTGCGCTGGGGGGTGAAATAACCTACGTGAAAAACATGACAGGTCATCTTGTACGAGATAAAGTTGAGTCACAAATACTGACACGAAAACGACGGACTTGTGTTCGATGTTTCCGCCATCGATAAAGATTTTTCCCATAAAATTGGATGGGTGCGTAGGCAGTATAGTGGTAATTCTCACCGGGTTACCAAAGCATCGGTATAATGACGTGCGTGTATATCTATCCAATAACGGGTCAATACTGGATCTTAGACTAGCGTATATCCTTTCCGGACGGGGATGGAAAAGGAAGACACGTAGGCTGTTGACAGGCCCTAAAACCTTACTTCGGAGATTGAGAAATTAAGCAATAAGTAGAGATAAGGGAGGCAAAAAGATGGTACAGAGAGAGAAAGAGTGAAAAAGCGATGTAGGTAGAAAGTCAGCGAGAGAGGGAGAGAGGGGGAGGAGAACGAACGAGAGAGAGAGAGATGGGGAGAGAGGGGAGAGAGAGAGAGAGAGAGAGAGAGAGAGAAGAACTGAGATAAATGTGGAGAAAGAGAGAGAGAGAGAGAGAGAGAGAGAGAGAGAGAGAGAGAGAAACTGAGATATTTGTGGAGAAAGAAAAACTGAGATAAATGTGGAGAAAGAGAGAGAGAGAAATTTTGTTTTGGAAATTAAATTACAATTTTTTGAAAATTAAATTACAAATTTGTGTGTGTGTGTGTGTGTGTGTGAATGTTTAGTGTTCAGTGATATCTCACCCAATATCTCACTGGTACCGTCAACACGACACACAAGAATGACACATCTACACGCAAAACAAACACTGAGCCCTGAATATGATCTCAATAAAGATCGAAACGTGGCATGATAAAGAAAATGTTTTTCTAAAACCTACGTCACAACAGACCGCACCTCACGATTTCCAAATAATCATTATAAATTAGTGTTGTAAATTAAATTTTAAAATTTCAATAAAAGAGCGCAAGCGTAGAAAAAAAAGCGATAAATGGAAAGTAAAATTAGGTAAGACATTATTCAAGATACGCCAAAATACCAGGGGCTACCCGACGATAATCATCGCCTCTGAACAATGCCAGTTCACGGTCGATCGATTGCACTTTTCATCGAGCGCTCCTTTTTGTCAAAATAGGAATAGAAATTTATTTAATTGTGACTGGCCTGGCGTTAAAAAAAAAAGAAAAAACTGTCGTGGAACAACAGAAGGTGCACTGACCCAGAACCAGACCTCCGGACGGAGTCTCCCCCTGGCGGGCCTCACTACGCCACGCCACCACATCGCCTTCAGTTTCAGTCGGTGCGGGGACGCCGTGGTGCAAGTTGAATGCTCTTTACTAAACCAGCCGGCTTACAATTCTCCAACGGCTTATTGAACAAACGTAAGTAAAAATATATACATATCTGTTTTTGTATGAAATGAGTTGGATTTTGGTTCAAATCAAAAATACTCATACTTTTAAAATAAAAATATCGGATTTTCGTTGACAAAGGAATCATTACAAATTTTACCTAAATCGCGCGCGCGTGCGTGTGTGTCTGTAGGAGCGCGTGTGAAAATGATTTTTTAGTTTTGAAATGTATAATATTAGTACAATTATGCTGAAAACTTAGGTTCCGTTTATGTGCTTGTGGTCCCAATGATATACAGTGGTATCAATGATATACACACTTAATATATTTTTTAATTAAGGTATTTCAACTACGAGGTTACGAAATCTGGGGGTGCCAGTGTTTTAGTAAGTTTATTGTTATAAAATAATTCGAAAATAATACTACATTAATTAATAATTTATAATCTTTGTTACTGTCGTTACAAACTTCATGTTTAATGAAAGCAGTTTTATTGAAAAGTTATAAAAAACCACAAGAACCCTATTTTTCAAAATACAAAATAGGCAAACTATTATTTGCCATGACTTTTATCCTGCATTGAGATCCGGCATTTGAATTTTGTTATGGTAGAACATCTTAGATTACAAGGATAAAAACCGATAATAATAATAAATTTAAAAAAAAAAACTTGCGTTCTAATCTCCCATCTGCGTATTTTTTCGAATGGCCTTAATTTCAAAATTTATATTCACCGGAACGACAGTTCTATAATAAATTTGTACAATCGGCACTCGAGCAATTATGAGTATCTAATAATACACCTGGATTTGTAAGATAAGAGTGACATTTTGAAGTCTTGATTGAGGATAATAATGTACCACCGAGTTGGTGAGACCCTGGTCCTCGCACTATTGAATAATTCAGTACAATCATCATAATCGTTCAGATGAAGATGGTCTGTTCGATGCACATCATGAAGGCTGGTATTTCCAGTTGAAACATTTTATTTTTGGCGGGTTTTATTTGAAATTTACAACTGTAGAATTAAATATAACAAATTAATACAATGGCGACCAAGAAATATAATTGTCTTGTAATAAGAGTCATTCAGTTGTGACACTCCGATATAAGTGAACCTAAGCATTCACCTGTCACTTGCTATCACTTAAGATGCGATCATGGGGTTATGCGTTTCAGTCGGCGTTGGGTACTATCAGGAAATTTGGCTGAGGAAAGTCGGATTATTAATGGATTTGGAAGACCAGTGAATGAGGAGTAGAATTTGATGTATCTTTGTTGTCTTGAATGTCACTCTAAAATATGCTGTCCCGGGTCTTACCTCAGGGGTGTTAACCTACCTCGTTATGCTGCTGGGTACCTAGTATCCCCCTAAGCCAGATGCCCAAGAGATCGTCGCTTCCCAACCAAAAGGGTTAGGTGCCAAAAAGCGGAACAGGAGACCTAGAAACTCGCCGACAACCATTTTTAAATTCGGTGGCATGCCAACACTCTGTGAGGAGCCAAGGCATACCAAGCTTATATTAGCGGGCGTCAGTGGCCTCAACGGTTTAGACGTGGACACGGCACTCATCACTGTAATGTAAAGGTCCCGGGTTCGAATGCAGGGCCGCTGGATGACAATACTTTTGGCCCAGGAGGAGGTGCACAAGTGTCAACCGCGTATGACCTATTCTTAATCGAAAGAACGATTCCTCGTTTTCGGCGATGTAGATTATTAAAGTGCGATTCAGCCTAAATGCAAGTTTGCAAATGCCACTTTTCGCAATAAGCAGAATCATCTCTACTATTTCTCGTAATGAACGAGACATTTTCACGATTTACACAGTAAGTCGAATTGGAACTCACAAATGGTTTGAGAAAGACTCAAGCAATTGAGGTATGTGGCAAACTAAATGATTTATAAATCTCTTAAAAAGGAAAGCGAAGGAACTGCTCTCTCAGCAGACGGATTTGAGAAAAATTATAGGCCTCTATCAGAGACAGAACATTTCAGTAAAATTGCTTCGTATATTAAAAAGATTTCAGTAAGATAAAAAATGACTTAACTTACCGAAAGCGAATAATACATTTGAATAATTTTTTTTAAACAAATATTGTGTTGAAGTGGAAATTCTTGGTCGTGATGAAAATTAGAATGTCATCAATACAAGGTTTCGTTTAGGTTTCTGATTGATCTTCAATTATCTAACTGTATCATCAGAAAAACTCACGATCAATGGTTACAGCCAGCCAAAAGAAAACATAAAATCAACTTTTCAGCAAAAAACAATAAAATTCTAAATTACACTTTAAAAAATGGCGAAGAATCGGAACAATCTTCTATTGACTGAAGCACGTTTTGTCCCGGTCTTAATGGAGTTCGATAGTGTTCTAGTTCGCGGACACACACCTAACTGTAAACGGCGTCTCCTACAAACAAAACAACCTAACACTAAGTGCCTGCTAATATTACAACCTGCCCTCAAAAGAAATCGCATTACGCTTTTATACAAAATAGGTTTCATTATAGTTATTATAAAATAACGTTAAACAATTATATGAAATTAATGTGATATAAGTAGTTAAGAAAACTTCTTTCAGTTAGTACTTACTAACTTCTTTAGAAGAAATGAAACATAAAGAAAAACGCGAGAAGAAACTAAAAAAATATAATAAAATAAAAAGATAATATCTTAGTACAAATAAATAAATTAAATAGAGGCAAATTTTGAGTTCAACCAAATATTGGCGTGTTATGATAAAAAATAATTGAATGCTTAGTGCATACAACGATTTTAATATCTGGCTCAGTTTTCTATTTGTTTTCTTGAAAGGTTTTGTACTTCCAGTCCTATGTTTTGCGGATTCGAATATATAGGAAGTAGATATAGGAGTATAGAGGAGCAGCCGGAGAAACAGAGAGAGAGAGAGAGAGAGAGAGAGAGAGAGAGAGAGAGAGAGAAACAGAGAGAGATAGGAAAAAGAGAAAGAGGGAGAGAAGGAGGATCAGTAAATGAAAGAATGAATGAGAGAGAGTGTGTGCAAGTGAAAGTGTGTGTGTGTGTGTGTGTGTGTGTGTCTGTGTCTGTCTGTCTGTCTGTCTGTCTGTCTGTCTGTGTGTGTATGTGTGTCTGTGTGTGTGTGTATGTGTGTGCGTGCGTGCGTGCGAGAGAGAGAGAGAGAGAGAGAGAGAGAGAGAGAGAGAGAGAGAGAGAGAGCGAGAGTGTTAGGAGGTGATAAAAGTATACAGGTAAAAAATGGAAAAAGAGACGTGAAATAGAATGTTACAAAATAAGATAACTTTGATTAACTTTCCGGCTCGTATTTGCTACTCTAGCGGTTCTGGGGTCGAATCCTGACATAGCCCTCGGAATTTCACTAAAAAGTAAAATGGGTTGACCCCTCGGCTCTGTCACATAATTGACACGTTGAACTTTGTGTAGGATGGACAGATAATGTTCACAGACGTATAATTATAATGTTTTTCCTCTCGATTTACTATTTATTTACTTCTAAATAGTAGTAGCTTATTATTAAACATCTTAATAAAAATGACTGATGGTGGGTTAAATTACTTACACAGTTCACCATGTATATTTAAAGCCATTTATTTATAGGCTGGCGAAATAATCATTCGTGTGAACGAATGTCTACCCGGTTAATTTATCTCGATCAACAATCAATAATTAGTCGCACCTGTCAATTTTTAATATTTTTCTCCATTTGAGTTAACGGTTAAACAGTTAAAACAGTAACAAAGAGGCCAATAGCATTTTCCCATCTTTATTTGCTGCTTAAACTACTCGCTTGAAAATTTGTATTTCATACGATCAGATAGCAATTAGCGTAAGAACTGGTTCGCAAACAGGATAAAACTACTACCACTACTACTATGTGTCTTTATTGTTTAATATATATACAAAGTTTACAGATCGGCAGTATGTATTACAGAGCAAGAAAGACGTTCCTCATGGTTTAAAACCGTCTGAGGGAGGACAAATCTAAAGATCTTCATTTTTAAGTCGATATTTCAGCTTAAATGGATTAAATAAATCCGAGTAAACATCTATCATCGACATTTTGCAAATATGTAATTATGCTACTACTAATTATGGAGGTACATCTCATCATCTTACTAGTCCATAAACGCCTATTTTCATAAAAAGAAAACTGTTGATTCAAAATATAAGATCTGAAATAGATCGTTTTTCATCTGATCACGTACCTTTAAAGTCATAACTAACTAGAACAGTTAGACTAGAGGTTTCGTCGAAGTAGAACAGGATGGGTGACCGCAGTTTGATCGCAAATGATGCTTATGAACGATGAAAGTTTGATCATTTCGGAATTTTTAGTGATGTACAACTGATACAATTTTACAAAATAACCTTGGCTTAGTGGTGTATTATCCTATTTAGTACGACTAGTTTGCTTAGTTATGTGTTGTGCTTATAGAAATTGCATGAGACTAATCTTTAGACAGCATTAGTTAGTTGACTTATTCTTTTTATGTAATTTTTCTTTGGATTATATACTCAAACCATCCTAGTTTATCATTTCGTTTTAAACAAAGTAGAATGATAAAATCGAGAATTTAGGAGAAAAAGATAATAAATGCTAATGGAAAAGAGAACATTTATTAAATGGAAGATGCATCATGGGGAAAACAGCATCAAAATTGAGTCCAATTGGCTCAATTACTCCGAAAGTGTTTATTTTATATTACGTACATCAAATGTCAAAGCAGCTATATGAGAAAAAATTTCCAAAAATGGTAAGACAGTGTAGATGGCAGTACCGATTTCCTGATAGAAAAAAATTTATCCTGTCACATATGTAGAACTATGAATTTATCTACTCTATAACTCGACCTTGTGTCAGGTGACAGTACTATTATCCAAAAAACAAAATAACACTAGCAAGTTTCTGGAACATAGTTTCCTTTCATTGAACCTGTATCGTGGTGAAGTTGGAGAAAGATTCAGACTGGCCCACGTGCACATCTTGTAGGTTTGTGCACGGTATAGTTATTTCTCCATTGGCTTCT